TAAACTTTCTATCGCGGTAGTGATCAAGGGTCTTGAGAACGCCGTCCGAAAACGCGCGGAATTTTATGTCAACTCCATCGTTAGGGTCCTGCTGTCTAAAGAACGTTTTTGGGAAAGGAGATGGTGGTAGTGTCGCCGCTATCCTTGCACAGGAGTCCAAAACACCAGCGCGAAAACTCCTTGAGGCTTTTTGGATCAATGCCAAAAGCCCTACAATGAATAGCAGGGACGAATGCCCGGAGATCATACGCGACCTGATCTCGTACGTTCGCATCGATTTTTGATGTGGGATGGTGCAGTCGTCAACCACATGCGACTATAATCAGCTGTTCTAAACTTCCTCATTGGAAGTCACGAAAAAGCGGTGGGTTTTTCGAGAAGTTGTTGATTGTGTAATTACCGGAGAGTTCTTCGTCTTTTTGTAAGTGTTATTGAAGCGTTTGGCCTAGTAGATTGTATATCAGTATACCCTTCCAGGCTCTGAAGAAGGCGATACTGCCGAAACGTCAGCTAGCGTTGTATTGTATTGTGTTTTTATGGAAGTAAATGTATGCTGTTTAAAAACCTCGCGATTGCTGAGCAAGAAAACGACACATTGTGGCTATATTTCACATAATACCCTGCCATTAAGAATTAGTAGGCGGTAAATAGAAATTGATATCCATATCGTTCGTTAGAATTTGTTAGGAAGCTCGCCAGAAGCGTTATTTTTGCCAGAATCTGGACACCTTGTGGGTGTTTCTTCTTACCGATGTATAATCTCCTTGCTTTGTAGATATGCCATTCCCCTCGCAGCACCAAACACGTAGTTCACCTTATTGGCGGTTAAAGGCTAAAAAAGGTGGAGTTTCATCACTTTTGTAAGGTATTCAACTCGTGCTTCGCTTTTCTGCCCCTTAATACCGAAAAGTTCCATTCCCGTTTTCTTTACATATTTTTGTTCTGCTTTCGCAGCAGACCATTCGTAAGAAACAGTATCATTTGACATCTACCCAGCTGTAGAAGGCGGTCAGTAAGCCAAAGTGGAATTTGTGTTTCTATTCGGGAGCCATCTGGGAGTTGAATTCATTTGTTTAACTCCTCCATGTTCTTCGATGTCCAGGGTCTTTGTGGGAGCTGATTGACATGGCGAACAAACCGGGTTCTTGAAATCTTTCAGTCGACTCAACAGCGATCCTCCGGAGGCCAACTCCATCACTATCATTATTGGCTCCTTCGATGTGCACACGCCAAGCAGACGAATGACATTCTCCTGGAAAGAAGTCATCCAGCTGACAAAATACACCAGCTAATAAGGATTTCTGTAGAGCTTATCTGAATAAATTAATGGGAGCAGTAACACTTTCCATACTAAATATCTCTTACTGTACGCATTGAGTTCAATGCAAATAATTGCCATAATTGTTGAAACATATACTAGTTCTTGTTGGCATTTCTTCATCTTCGCCATGTACTAGCTGTAGGTATTAGCTGAAGGTACTTATCAGTGACTTTTGTCATGAATGCATCGTTAGATTGGATGAGTGTGACTCCATCAAAATACAATCGCACCCTTTCCTTCCTGCACTTTCGTGTCGTGAAGAAATGCGGGATTCGTGCAAGATTAGAGCTAAAATTATCCGAAATCGCTGGCATACGCGAGTGTTCTCGGAGACAAAGTTTAAAGCCTAGACCACACTATTATGCATTTTCTCTCGTTACTAGAGATTTCATTCTTTTCGACATTTCAATTTTTATTCATGTGAAATTTTTCTTGAGCCATGCTTATTCTGACGATAAGCGCAAACACATCGGATACGAGTTTTCATGCCCACTTCACCATAAGACAGCGAAAAACAACGTCGGGCTGAGTGGGAATTTAAAGGGAACGAAAAGAAAAGAATAACCATTAGAGTCAAGTTATTAGAAGGAACTTTCTCGCTGGAAGATGATAGAATCAGGAATTCCTAGTGCTTCACTTTTCACTGCCACTTAATATTTGCACATCATTAACAGCACAGTATCGTTGGGAAGTAAACACACTGACATGCTTGAATTCTCTCATGATATTCGCCTCCTGTAGGAACTGAATACGATCAGACGCAGTCATCTGGGTTGAGTGAAGTGTTTTGATGGCGACTGGAATTCGAGCTCCCCACATGCCATCCTCAACGAATAATACTCGGATTTAAAAGGCATAGATTGGCGGGAAGTGCTAGAAGTTGATGAATCAAATCGGTTCACGACGTGCTTAAGTACGGTATTGATAGCTCAAAAGCTGAAGTGTCGAATACGGCGAATTACCTGCAATAACCCTTTGTATACTTCACCAAAGGCTCCCTCGCCGATTTTCTCGTGTGGTTCTATCTAAAAATTTCACCATAGGTGCATTTGAATTTCAAAGAGCCAACCATCGCCGAACTCACCTGCTCTGGGTTCAATTGCCACCCTTGTTTAAGACACGGCTTTTGTATGGAGACATCGTCATCACACAAAGGCTCCGAATTGCGGAGATGGTACTGGACAAGGTCACTAATTGTTTTGAATGCGAACCGATGCACCCAGAATAATCGCTTCTGAAAACACTGCTGTTGAGAAATTGAACACCATGAAGTGCGGTGCCGTTGGTACACGCATTCCCACTTCTGAATAGAATAATAATCCCGCTGACGGGTGATCGCTGATGGCACTGATCGATAGAATTAGCTGAGAAACAGGCGAAACGAAGGACCCGCATGGTGTGGTGGTGAGCGCGTTACTCCCCGGAAAGAACAATAGCGCGTTCGTTCCCTACCGCAAACACCTGCGGTCCGGACTTTTGCAAATATCTCAGCATCATTGTGGTTGTTTCATAAAAACTTAGGACTGATAAACACATTTGTAGGTGGTCTCTCACATTAAGATTGGCACAATTCCCATTCATATCGAAATTTCCAGGCCTACGTTTTGGAACGACTAAGAGAGGTAGGGTCGAATTTCGATTTACCTCACTCACATTCAGCAACTGCCAGGAAACGACTGCAGTGAGATTAGGGCAAAATTTCATCCTACGTCCATAAGAAGTACAGTAACACATTCCATAAAGAGAAGAACTGTGACGTCGACCTCCACATGTAGTCCATTTCTTGGTCCCATGCGTGCACATTCGAAATTAAACTCAATAAAAACTGCAGTTTAGAACGCAAACCTTACTGTTTCTATTTGCATCTCCCAAACTTGTGATGCATCTGGAGCTGTTATGAGACTTAGAAAATTACGAGCGGTAAAGTGCAACTTTTTCTTCGGCCACACCATGAAGTGTTTCTCAACTGTCGATTTGAAGACGGTTTCATTGCATGACGCACAATGTGTAACAGGATCTCTCCTATGTTAGTGAACAAAATACGGCCGCAATTTTTTATCGCCTCATAGTGATAGAAGCTCTTTCATAAGATTTTCAACCCGTCATTCTTGTGAGACGAGTCTTTCCAAACAGTATTTATTGCTGCTGCATTGGTGTTATAAGGAGTGGGTGGTGAAGTCGCGGAGATCTCGTTCATTATGTAGACGGCCCAGTCTAACCAGGCCCTGGTCCTACGCCGCCCAGGGGCCAATCAAACCTCCTATTCCTCTGGGGTGGGAAAATTTTTATCAAACTTGTTTTTTTTGGGACCAGCTCACTTTTCCAGTCCGCGTCAGAACGCTCTAGCTCGGCTTCAGATTTGCGGGTAACATCGACTAGCACAGCACTCAGTGACATTCGTTACCATGTCGGAGAAATTTTGGAAGAGCAGCTAAACCTACACACAAAGGGGTCCGAAGACCGTTGTGTTTGATGGATGCGAGGGAAGGAGTCGAATGCGAGAAGTGCTGGGATCGCTTCAATGTAGTATAAGTGGTGTCGGTTCGTGCATTAAAAATAATAGAAAATATTACTGTTATTATAAGCTTTGTAGCATAAAAGGCAAAGTAGTTAAAGATGTCATGAATTGTAGACATGAGCTGCTGGTCGGATTTCGCTCGTGGCAACTAAGTTTCACATCCCTCTGGGCGCGGAAAATTCATACTAGAGTTGTCTGCGAAGAGATATTGCCGATTCAGAATGGAATTTGGCTACCTGTGGTGAATACCTAGGAGTATCCTTACACAACAATCACAGTATTCTAAAGAAAATCTGCTCGACCAGCATTCAACGGCATTCATGATGGAGATCAAAAGTTCTCACAGAGCAGCTGAACCCACGCCGAAAACCCGCAGATTTCTGTGGATGATGGTTGAAGCGAGACGAGGAAACCAGTTAAAAGGCCTCTTTGGAATAGCGCAATATGTGAAGTCGACTCATCTAGACAAATCGTTGTTACTTATCACCACTATTTGCTATATAGGGTGGATAGAACAGTGGTAGTGATGCCCGTCATCACGAGCATGGTGCTAGTTCGATTCCGCACTGGGCCTCTCATCGCTCCGAAGTCGGGAAATCGGTACCGCACTTGTCTGGGAAAAACTCACTTTCTTCAATCCAATTGGGAAAACTCCAGCCCTGTTATCCCAGGACTCTACGGAGAATTGCTCGATTAGCATTCTACGACATTAAAGGTGAAAAGAAAACCTTCAAGCAGCAACCGAAACCACACGTAAAGTTGGAAGATCATCGTGGACGATGGATGCAAGGAAACGAATTGAATGTGAGAAGTGCTGGGATCCGCACTGTAGACGTGAAGACGGGTCAAATAAAATAAACAAATATTATTTACTATTATTATAATAAGATTGTCACTACTAATTATTGAGCATACTTTCTATCGTCAAATAGCTTTAGAAAACAAAAACTCGAAGAGATTTGTGTGACGGAACAACTTTGACCCATCTGCTCCAACTGTCAGTACGTACTGCTTGTCGTTTTGAGTGTGGTGTTATTTTCCCTCTGTAGAATGTTCACGAGCTATACGAGGCATTGACCTTGACGGTGCGTTTGATTAGAAAGTGCTTCACGGTCTGCTTGTGCATCACGCTAATCACAAAGTGATGACGGCCGGCCACGTCTGTCTTCCTCACTAAATCGACATTCTCTAGTGATTTTTTCAAAATTTTTTTACTAGTTTTAGGAGATTCGAATGAAGTCAAGATAGGTTAAAATACGGCTGAGAGAAAGGTGAAACGAAAGACCCGCAAGGTATTGTGGTGAACACGTTAACCCCGGAATTCGATCCCCACCGCAGACACCTGCGCTCTGGAGCTTTGCAAATATGTCAGCATCATTTTGGATTTGTTGTGGATGAGTTCATAAAATATGCATGCAGAAATTTCAACCACATATTGTGAAATAATGTGGGACTGCAACTTGCCTAGGAATTCACCATCCCTTTTGAGAATTTTCTCCGCATCTTCTCTCGTCATGAAGCCATGATAGTATGGTTCATCTTCTAGTAACTTAACCGTTCGTCCGGCTTCTTCGCAGTTGATCTGCAGTAGGAATATTTATCCGTTATTAATAAATAATGCTTCATGTTTAGAGCTGAAGCAGCACAACCTGGGTGAGTCTTCTGGTTTCTGAAGTGGACAGCTGTCGTCTCTCTTTACGCACTTTTACACCATCCTGAACTCCTACTTAACTGTAATAATTACTGTTGGAACAAGTAGCTATTTCCTCTTTATTAAAACGAAGGTGGTGGAATATGACTGTAAATAGCCCCAAACGTGTTAGGTCTTCACAGGAATTGATGTGAAGGCATGTGGTGTCAACAGAAACACGCTAACTTTGTAATGTGGTTCACCTATTTACGTAACAAATAGCTCACTCCTAAATTAAATTATGACGACGAAGTTGAGCAGTTTTATAAAAGGATAGAGAATAAAGTTTTCAGCGTTGAGCAAACCCTGAGGGAGGCGCCATGTATTCGTCTTCACTAAGCGTCGTTTGTAGGTGAATGAATGCATATTTGGCCTTTACAATGACTAGCGGTGGCCTACCAATGTATCGAGCCAGTGCTGCTATCCTCCCAGACAAGTCTGGTGCCAATTTGCCGACCTCGGCTGGATAGAAGGCTTGGTGGCCCATGGGCGCGAGGACCGATTCCACCCACGTGTGTGTTGCAGGGCACCTCCGACCACTGCACCACACGCACCTGTTGCAGTTTTATGTTTTCAATAAGAATCTACAAAGACGGGCCGATGAACAAAGCTTTCATAGTGATTTGGAGTTCAAAAGCGAACACTGTAAAGCTTCACATTGAGCCTCCACCTTACATTAGAACAGAGCGCGTGAAAGTAAGCTCATTGCGATGGCGAGGGCTACAGAAAATAAGGAATGTTTCTTCCAACTTCACACACTAATACCACCTGTTCTTAGTGGAAGCACGAGCACTTTTTCTACAACAAAAACGATCACCTTTCCTATTACGACTGCTTTGCTCTGGATTTGGTTAGTTTCTGGATACCTCTTTTCTAATTCGGCCGCCTTTCGATCCTCAGGAGCGGGAACCTTTTCTTTTATTTCTGACTTGCCAGACAACTGGGTATTTTCTGGAGCTCCTTTCTCTAGTTCGACCGCCTTTCGATCCTCAGGAGCGGGAACCTTTTCTTTTATTTCTGACTTGCCAGGCAACTGGGTATTTTCTGGAGCTCTTTTCTCTAGTTCAACCGCCTTTCGATCCTCAGGAGCGGAAACCTTTTCTTTTACTTCTGCCTTACCAGGCAATTGAGTATTTTCCAGACGTCCCTTCTCTGGCTCCACCGCTTCTTGTTCTGCAAACAAAATCACATGCATCTTGTGTTACGAGGTCAGATTAAGATTAGATTACGCATTCTGTAATAAATAATTCATTAGCTATTCAATTCACATCTTTTATATTGTTTTACTTGGAGACAACTTTAAGCATAAGCTCTTTCTGTTCTTTTGAAGATCGAATATTTTAATAAGAATGTTTATTCAGTAGTCACATTTGTGCCCAACGGAGGTCTTAGTCTTCTATGTAGCACTGGAAACATACTTGGATATACACTACGCAAAGTGGCGTAGCTCTATGGTGGAGGCGCTCCACAATGCACTTGTGGTCACGCGGATGACCGACCATATGCTGGTAAACGGGAGCTTCCCATTTGACACCTCGATAACTTGAGAGATTCCAGGACAGTTGAGTTGCCCTAATTAGGTACTTCGGACGTACCTCCAACACATCGAAACATTTCTACGTCTTCTTCTTCAGAGCCAGACAGGAGGTTCAACAGTCAAAGAGAAAACATTGAAGAAAGTTCAGACGTAGTTTGAAGAGTTGCTCTTGAAGGTTCTATGACTGCTTCAATAATATCGTTGGAGGATGGTGAGATTTCGAATGTTTTTATTCTTTCGAAGGGATAAATGACAGCCAAATTCTATAGAAACAACCCCAGATTCATTCCTTCGGAAAGTTACTTATGATCAGTCGAATAAGTTGCGACATCAGCATCGTGGACGACTATTCCCGAGCTAAAAACCGAAGGATTGTTGAGTCTTCAAAAGAAACGAATCGCACACGAACAATTGACCATGGGAAAGTCATTTGTTAAAAAAGACGTTCGACAGGAAAGATCATTATAATCAGTGCGCTAGTTGTCTGCAAACCGTGTTGCATACGCTTCCCATGGTAACCTTTGTGCGAATGTGACGAGCTTCAGATGGAGTCCTAGGAGTGCAGCTGCTTTTACCTCTGAAGTTTGCTGCATCCAATTAATTTCAACCAAAGACGTACTTGTTTGCTGAGAATTCGTACCACCTTTTCCTTAGGCTCCTTTAACCACTTGTCCACCAACATAAGATCTCTTCAATTATGTGATTATTTTTTTATGTTTCTCTTTATTTTTAAAAATTTTTATTTGATTAAATTAAAATTAAATTAAAAATTTTAATCTTAACCTTTTTTAACCTTTTTATTTCCTGCCTATTCTTTTTAACGGCGGGATATTATGTGAGATAGAACCACAATGATGCTGAGAAATTTTTGCAAAACCCCGGACCGCAGGTGTCTGCGGTGGGGAACGATCGCGCTATCGTCCTTTCCGGGGAGTAACGCGTTCACCAGCACTCCATGCCGCTCCTTCGCTTCGCCTTTCTCTCAGCTAGTTCTATCGATCTTTTGCCCTCAGCAGTCTCCCCACCGCGAACACCTGCGGTCCGGAGTTTTGCCAATATCTGAGCACTATCATGAGATTTTCTACTTTTTGCAATTATCTTTTTCATTACCACCTTTTCTTTAGCCTCGTTTAAGCACTTGTCCACCAACATTAAAAGTCTTTTACAGCCTCATCACTACTATTGTGGTTTTTAAAAGAATGCGATTTACTGACGCTAATGAGCATCATCTTCTGCTGTGCAGTGTGTATCTCTATTCCGCTTAGACCATGACATAGACAGTACCTAACCAACCAGCTCTCTCCGCTTCAAACGTGATGCGGAAAGAGCAAAAGGATTAAATAGCTCTGAACTCAGTAACCGGTATCGTTAGGAGAAACCCCTTCATGACGGGCATTATGAAGACGAGCGCGAACGAACACCAGACATTGCAATTATTTTTCCAGTAGCATAACTCCAGCTCCGAGTTTCGTGTGTAGGCAGAACATTTATGTCTCTTCTGTCGCTTCGACATCACCTCGAGGAACAATCATTACTGCTAAAAAATTTACCATCCAGAAAGCACTTACTTTCATTTTTCACCTGCGTTGATTGTCCAGTATTCTCCGCATCTGGTAAATATTTATATTTAGTTGTTAGATGCACTTTAAACTTTCTCTTATTAACTCACCTGCCTCTGGCATACTACATTAGTAATGAAACTGTGCTATTCATTCTTCTGCACTGATAGGGAGCCTTATCCGACTTATACGCTATAAATGTAATATGAGATAACAACCAGTGGAAAGAGTGGGAAGAATAAGTGGGAAAAATTCCCTCACTCAACTTCTGGAAGTTTTACTGTAACTTTGTCACATGTTCATGAGGTTAGAAGCTTGCAACTCTTGACTCTGAAATCGGACCGCATTGACGTCTTCTCTATGAGAAGCTCCATACGTTCAGCGTTACCCTAGGTCATTAGGGTGCCTGCACTGCAATGCCTACAACCACAAACAAATTGTTCAGCTCATTTCGGCGTTGTTGGGAGGTTGTTCTCTTCTTTCCAGCTTCCTTACCGACGCATTTCACTAATGCTAAAATCACTTGCTTTGAAATGGTCAAACAGTTTCAGGCTCTCCTGCCAGTCAAGCAACTTTCGCCATTAACAGCAGTATTATGTGGAACGGCTGCAGACCACACAAGACGAGTCAGTGAAAACATGTCGGAGATGCTTGCTTTTCTTGAAAGGAGACGAATCTCGTACACCGTAAGAGTTCTGGTTCTTGTTTAAGGAGACCATCTCGCCACATTGAATAATTCCTTTAATGCAGTCTCAAATCACACAGTTTAGGACTATTCAACAACTGCCTAAACGAACACAAAGGCTGCAAAAACCTAGAGCTTGTGTTCGCAGTTGTCAACAATTCTTCAAGTCACCTTGGCTGCGGCTTTAAAAAGCAAGCGTCGGCTTCTTTGCATAGAATATGAGTACGTACTTAATAAAGCATGTTTCATTCAGTCCTTAACTTTATTTACTATCAATCTTCTCATGAGTTTTTGACTAGAACAAAGTGAATCAACACCGATGAAGCCAGCTTGTGCTCCGTGACAGAATCGGGTAAAATTCCATTCGCTTTCGTGTGATCGAGTCTTCGACATACGCTTTTTATACAGTCACTTTTTGCATCCTCTTGGATCAGCCTTGCATCCTCTTACAGTTGATGTTTGTAGGAAGAGCAAAACATAATATTTCTATTTCCAAAAGAAAGGACAGAATCATTGTATAATCTGTACCACTGGTAATCATGAAGTTTTCTTGTATGCCAGAATCAAGAATCAGAGTCGGTGTACATAGTTTGTCATATACTTCCAGGGTATACTTACTTACTTACTTGGATACTTAGACGGCCCGTCCTCACTTGTTGTGCGGGCTCCAGCATAGTCTCCATTTTTCATAGTTTTCCTGGTTTAGCTATTATGTTTCTACGAATTCCCGAGGTCAGCCTGGCCAAAGTCTGACCTAGTTTTCACCACCACAGTCAGTCGCAGGCTTTTGTGGACAGAGTGAGATTTGCCACCATGCGACTGGTTTGATACCAGGACAGTAGTGGATCCTGGTTTTGGTTTACTCCAAACTGGGCTACCTAATGGAAATGCCGGATTTCTTCTCAGATTGGGAGACCCTACCGGGTGATTAATCCTTCCGGTCTATGTCACAGTCCGACACCCAGGAGCCATGATGAGGCGGTGAGCCGATGGGAGGCTTCTAGAGTACAAGCGAAGTTTATTTAATGAAGATGCTCCCGCACATTTCACTATTCACTTAGTTATATTTCTTTAGCAGAATCAATGTATGCGGTACAATTCGCACACGCGATACAACCAGCACATCCATACAATTCGTAAATATGTCTACGTACGGATGGAAGGGGTGCTTTAGCTCTGAGGCCGTGAGACCATTTCCCGACTCAAGACACATCCCACGGGAACTACTTTATTACTTTTGTCGCAATCTACTCATAATCAGTAGCTTAGCGATATGTCGTGTAGACTCGCAAATAATCTACTCAAGACCCCTACTGTGAAGATCTGTTGAAGTTATCGGTAAGTGGTTACACAAAGCCATTGCTGTTGCGTATCATGAAGGCAGTCAGTCAGCTTGAACAGCACTTGAATTGTAGGTAATGAACGACACTGGAGATGTCATAACATCTTCATAGCTTACATGCTAAACCCCTTTATTTGATCATTACTTTGATTTTGTGGTATCAGTTTTCAGGAATGGCAGACTAGAAGGTTGGTATCACCAGAGTTTCATAGTTTTAAAGTCGAAATTCTTTTTTCAATGTTTTTTAAGTGTTATAAATCAGCAAGTTGAAAAGTGTTTATACAGGCGTTGCTTACACGAAGAGGTAACGGAGAATCGCCTCATTCGAAGAATTTCCACAATAACGCCATATGTTTATCGCTGTTGGAAAATAATATGGTATGGTTGGCACTCGCGAATGGTTACCAGTTTCCCTCGGGCTTCCGTACTCGGCAAATGAAGCGGATCAGGAGACACGATGTAGCGAAGTAGGAGATTTCCAATGATCTTAAACAAGTGAAATTTTCACCGTATCGCTCATGAAAAACTATCAAACAAAAGCGAATTACAAGATATAATTCGGCTTGGGCGAGCGATTCGCCTAAACATGAGCGCTTCCCCAGTCCGAACGCCACCACCATCTGCTCCAGCCGATCGCCATTGAAATAGCGTTCGGGGTTGAACTAAATTTACCCAGATGCATAATGGTAAGTAAAATACGAATATTTTGACAACAATGACTGAATTGTACACAAAAACACTTATTTGGACACTTGAATACGTCCTAACGAGTAGTAAGCTCGCCATTGGCTGTTCTACGGTCCGGATGCGGCCTATGCTGCTGTTACTCCTCTGTTTGATTCTTCCTTCATGTTGTCCATGTTCATTGAGCGCACAAGATACACGTGTGAGGTGGTTTCAGCAATCAGAGAACCATCCAATTCAATCTACTCACCTTCGCACCATAGGTTGTTCATGAATCGGATCTTCATTCTACTTCTGTGCAGGGCAATTCTTTCTTTCCGCTTCGTTAAGCTCACTGAGCATCGCCTATGCTTTACTTTTGCTACTCGAAAAGATGAAAATTTCACCAGTAAGAAAGGTATGATAAGAATTTTCCATCACTACGTATGCCATCGGCGTTCCAGTTGAGCGACTTCATTATCCACTGCAATGCGGCAGTAAACAGCTTTGCTGATACGCTTTGTTGAACTCGTTTTCCAATGAGAATAGTAAGTGGTCGATAGAGAAGCTGTACTTCTATGCTGCACTTAAAGTAGCACTTAGCTAGAGCTCAAATAGAGTGGATGGGTGCATCCTTCTGTCGACGACTGCTTACAGAATTGTATTCGTTTCAGTGCTGCCAAACACTTTTTCATTGTCTAGAAAAGCTAGAAGAAGGACTAGGTGGTACATCCGACGGACTTCTATGATCCATGATTGCTTCTATGGCTTAGGTATGGCCCATGAAAGAGAATCCTTACCGGAATCATGCTTGCTCAGCTGTTCAGTCCTATTCAAAACCCTTGATATGCGTGGTAGGATAATTTTCGTGAACACCTTGTAGAAAACTCCCCATCGTTTAAACCTTTCTACTTTTTGTATCTTCTAAAACAATGACGGGAAATCTGGATCGATCAATAACCTCGAAAAGAACGTAAAAATCTTTGCAGTAGAGTATTCTGATACCATAAATGCAAAGCAAGAAACGGTTTCTGCGGCGTATCGTGGTCGTTTTCGTTTTATCCGGTTCCCGTGACGTCCAGTGTATCCGGAGATATATGATCGCCTACCACCGGTTATCTCAACGCTCGAAGTGTCGCTAGAGCTTTCCATAGGTTGTCAGCGCAGGTAGTCCGAGACATTGTTAGTGGCTTGATACCAGGATGGTAATGGTTCCTGGTATTGGTTTAATCTTAGCTGAGGTTCGTGCATGAAAATGTCAAACCTTGTCTCAATTCAGGAGACCTTGCTGGAAGGTGGATGCATAATATTACATGCAAAGTAATGAAAACAGCAGTTACCTCATATTTGTCCGTGAAGTACTTCTCATCTGTCATGATAAGGGAGATTAACGCAGTGATAGCCGTGCCTTTGGGAACTACGTATGGACCAACGACGACATCCTCAGCGGTGTTTCTCCACAGATTAAGCGGGACAATTGAAGCACATCGATGGATTTCCTATCAAGCAACTATTAAAGAACGACAACAACCCTCCACTTCTGTAATTAATTGTACATGTCAAGCTGTACCAAATTGGCAAAAATTTGATGTAGAAGAACTCACCGTTAATGTAGCATTGTAGAAAGGAGTATTCGGTCGGTCGGTGATCGAGAGCGGCCTTTCACCTTTCGTGACGGAAAGCAGTTCCCGCTCTAGTCGTCCTTTCAGCTAAATCGACTGCTTTTTCTACACAGCGTTCTCAGTAGTAATTGTACTATTAATGTGTTAAAGACGAAAATCCTGACTCATTACTTGAGGATTGAGCAGTAGGTAGGAGAATGCCCAGTTCAATGTGACCGTCGTCGTTTCTTGTCCAGCCATCCATAAATCCAACAGTGACATCAACAGCATTTCTTCACTGTATGGCAAAGGTGATCATAACTATTTTGAAGAGGTGAAATGTGTAAGTTTTAAATTATTCAAAAACAATCTAGAACCGCGATTTTCGATTAACCTTGGCATTAGTTAGCTTATATCATCTTGCAAACTCTCTTTTTCAGAGCTGATACGAGTTTGTTAAAACGCGTTTTGATAAGTGGCTAAGGTTTCGGCGACTTGGTTTTCCTCAATGCCTAGACGTGTTGTGATAAAAGGACAGAAGGATAAATCTTCCGGCGTTGATTAATCCCTAAGGGATGCGCCAGCATTTGACTTCATTAAGCATCGTTAGAGGTGATTGGGTGCACACCTGGCCTTTATAATGACTCGCAGTGGCCTACCGATGTACTGAACCAGTGCTGCTATCCTCGCAGACAAGTCTGGTACCAATTTGCCGACCCAGGAGGGATGGAAGGTTTGGTGGGCCATGGACTCGGGGATCGATTACACGTGTATGTCGTAGGGAGCCTCCGACCACTGCGTCACACGCGTTGTGATAAGACTGTATTTCTTATTAACCGGTAAACGGGTGATCGTTGCTGATCACGTAGGGTGATCTTTCAAAAGGGTAGACGGTGAGCTCTCTTTAATAGGCAAATATTTGGCTTAGTCTATAGGTCAGTTTTTCTTGTTAAGACTAAGGAATATTCACCGAACAATAAAAACATAGTTATACATCTTGTAGCAATAAGTCGAAGCTCTGAATAAATCGAAGTCGCTTAAATGTCAGCCATCGATGGTTAAAAGACCTATTAACAATGTCGTGTCAGTCTAAATCAGGAGATTTCGTAAGGTATCCAAAAATAATCTAATGCTTTTAACCATAATGATGCTGAGATATTTGAAAAACTCTGGAGCGCAGATGTCTGCTGTGGGGATCGAACCCATCTTTAGCTTTTCCGTAGCTAACGCGCTCACCACCACACCATGCGGGTTCTTCGTTTAGCCTATCTCTCAGCTATTTTTTAGTGCTTTTATTTATTCACAATGATTATGGAGAAATGCTCACTCAAAGCTTGTCGAGGTATTGCTGTCCTTGTCCTTCTTCATCTGAATTAGAAATGCATCCACAAAATCTCCACCTTCGCCTTCGAGCACATGCGTTCCCTGCTCGATATCGCGCTTTCTGCAAAATCGACAGCATCACCAAGACGATTCAGAATTCCATGATGGTTGGATGAGTTGCAAATAAATAAAAAATGTCAATGTGCAGTGTGCGACCGTTGTTGGATTTGTCCTCGAATGAAGTCGAGCACGGCTTTAAGTGGATTCAGAAGGTGCTTCGTTCGTTGACTGATTAATGGCAGATTTACGTTGAATTCATCAATGAGCATGTCGAAGATCGTGAAATTCTCCGTCGTCTCGTGAGCTTTCGTTTTCAACGCGAAGAATGTCTTCTCGTCTTCCTGCAAAGTAGCCGCTTTCTACTCAAAGAGTTTACGTTAATAATGATTTCACATGGTAATGGGATCAAGTGCTTTGTTCCCTCACAAAGGTTGTTCTCATATAAGGCTATTTCTATGAAAACCGTCATTATTTTACATACAACATGACCACCTCTCCATTTCCATTATAATGGTCCATCAACACATTCTATTGACCTGAAGAGTTTTTCATCTTGCTCTACTCTTTATGGTATCATTTACTTCTACGTGAAGCAATATAATAGTAGAACTCTGAGATAACCTGTTCAAATCTGTTTGTAAATATTACGCGCTAGCAAGATTCCCAACCTTCTCGAATCGGTCCGTGAAGAGAATTCTGTTGATTATGTTCCCCACTAGCAGTTCGAACATATTAAAAGGGTGAATCGAAGTCTCTCCAGTCTTCAAACGCTTTTCCAAGTCCTCACATCTGTAATGCGGTAGATGACCTCGTTGGAAGTTCGCCATTCTCATAAATACTGGCTAGTAACGCACGCAATGTTGAACTCAAACATGATTCTCTCTTCAATGATGTTCCTTCCTAAACCAAAATTTCGAAGTGTGTGAAGTGCGAAGCGACGTTGTTCCAGCCAAGCTGGACCGTTGGATGCGATAATACCGCGATTATCTGGGATAAAATTTTCTTTATCTCCAGAATTTTTCTTCATTTATTCCTGAATTCATTTAATGATGAGGGAATCTAGCTGAGAGTCAGTAATGGAGCCACGGATTCAGTCTGCTATGGTTGAGCTGCGAACGAATATTACTGTGCGCACAAAAGAAAATAGTCAAATGAAATCCTAACTTTTTTATTTACTGCCTTTTTCTTCTTAATGGCAGGGTATGTTGTGAAATATAACTCGTATGAAGTGCTGAGATACCTGCAAAACTCCGGACCACAGGTGTATGAAGTGGAGAACGAACACGCGCTGTTGTCCTTACCGGGGAGCAACGCACTTCACCACCACACCATCCGGATCCGTTCGTTTTGCCTGTCTCTCAGCTAGTTCTATCGATCTTTTTGCCATCAGCAATCACCCGTCAACGGGATTGATCTGGGGAGCCCAATTCTTCATTCGAGTTATATTTCGCAACATACCCTGCCATTAAGAAGAAAAAGGCAGTAAATAAAAGGGTTAAGAAAACAGTCAATTTTGATATTTCAGATTAGTGCTTAATCTAATTAATTAATTAATTAATTAATTAATTAATCAGTTATTAATCAGTAGTGTAACAAACTTCTTGTGAGATTAAACAGATAGGGAGAAATTCTATCTGCAAACGTGCTTCCCTTTTTCACCATTGCGTCCACGGCAGTGGAGTAGTCGCAGATGTTCACCGACGCAATCGGCCCAAACCAAAATGTGTGCACGCTGCCATACTCCTGGAATTCAAGTGTACAAGAATCGAAAAGAAAACTAATGTGCGGCTCTCCAGTGAGTAGCCAAACAGTTTACAGCTTAGCTGCTTACATATTTGACTCAGATATCTGATTTCACTCGATCCTATCACTCCTAGAAAAGTCTAGAAAGACTCTCAGGAACTCGGTACATGACTTCCACGCAAAGATGAACTTTGGGCAGGTTTTGAGTCCATGGTTGCGATTTAAATTATTCGAATGCATTTAAAAATTCGGTGGCATTTATACCTTTTTAAAATAGTGGTCATGGATGAATTTATGAGGAGGATGTGGCAGAACGATGTCTTCAAAGTGAAAAAGCCAGAACGAACCTCAACCCACTCGCGAACCGCTTCGACGAACGTCTTCTTCTTGATAACCATTTTATAAGCGAGTTGATGCATATTGCCAATTATCGGCAACGGGAAAGGACCTAGACTATCAACTTTCTTCCTCATTTGTTAAGAAAAACTGAACAAGAATACTTATTTAATGAGCTCAAAGATGAAAATTGAAGCAAACGAGTAGCATCCCACCAGGTGGCAGTCTTTTTCTTTGCGTATATATCTTAAGGAAGAAAAATCCAACTACGGCTAAGAGTAATGCGATGGCAATCATGACGACCAACTCTGCAAGGTCAGATAAAACATTATAAAACCGTATAGATCAAAACCACTACAAGACGTGAACTTGCAAGATGTAGTGTTGAAAAGGGACTAACAGAATTGTTGCACTGGATGATGCTCGTTTGTCGAGAATTGCCGATAGCTTTCCTGAACTAAAGTAGTTGAGCAGCTTAGAAGTTGCTAGGTTTCTAGGAGAAGCTTCACACTACCACTCTAATGGCATATATGATGCCAAAAGATGTTCTTCCAGTTTTAAATTCTTTTAGAACTCGAACCTACAGAAACTAGGAAGGAGACCTAGCCTTTCGAAATTTCCACCACAAGCGCAGCAGTGCAGATACCTGCAATACAACGGAAGCACTATCGTGTTTTTATGCAAAATTCTGACTGATCGGCAGTTCCGTTACTCGATAAGGAAAAGCGGATTGTCGCGTGTTATGTGTCTGAAAAGCTAGAATTTCATCGATAAAGAATAAAAGAGTTGTACCTCGTTGGCAAAAGCCATTATATTCTTATAGTTTCTATTCCACTTGTCTAGCTCTACTATGAACCGAGGTGGGCTTGTTAAAAGTTGAGGAACGCGAACAACTTTGTGAACGCATGAATTGAAACCAATGCGCGCGTTTCTCGCTGTATTTTGATGCCTTATGGCATTCGTATCTTATTAACAAAAATGAGTGGCAGGACATTAAACCGATTTCATTCACACCATTATAATAAAGTTATCATTCACTGTCATTATAAAGGCCAGGTGTGCAGCCAATCACCGATCCATTCATATAGAGAACGAGGACAGCGGTAGCGAATTTAGAAGGTTGTTAACAGAAAAGATCAATCAGCTTCCATTTACGAGTACATACGTTCTAGTCGAAGTGCATTTGTAGAGTTTGTGCTGGTTTGAGGTTATATAAAGTAGATAAATAGCGTATGAACAGACCACCAGTCGCATAGGTTGGATAGGTGGCCACTCCAGCCTTGTGCTGGTCGTCAATGATTGTAGACTTCCATGATGAAGATTTGTGGTTGTGCAAGTTTTTTACTATCTTATACAAAGCTATTCAATAAGAAGAAGAATAGCGGAAAGCAGAAGTCGGCCAGGCATGATCACATCAAACAACAGGAGTATTTTTCTAACCAAAGAAATCAACTACAGTCTCTAAAATAGACCGTCAGGTGTAACCATAAACAAGAAAAACGAGATGACAGTTCGATTTCCACTGTAATAATCGTCGACCAGGCCCGAAATTGTTATTATAGAATGCTTGATTATCAGTGGTGATAATCATCGCTCATTTTTGGAGAGCACTGTCAGAGGTCACAAATAGCAATTTTTCTTGGCTGATTACATAAACTGGGATTAAAACCAATGCAATATAGCTCTACTTTTGGAGAATAAAGAGATGTAATGATTGAAAATTGATCAGCTTATTTGCTAAAGATACGCCCGTGCTAAGTGCCAGGTGTCCCCATCGTTTTTATTTCACTCCTTGTTAAATGAACTTATCTACTCTACTATCTACGAAAGGGATAATCTAGCCTTACAAATTTTTTGAGGCTTTGAATGTGGTTTTTCTCTTTGCATAGTGGAAGAACAGGTAGGAACAGTCTGACAGAGAAGTTAGAATTTTGCCTGTCACAGTCCAATTCACTATCCACTGCTCGAATCCTGTGTTAGTTAAAGCAAAAGAGGAGTGATGGAGGGAGACGAACCAATGGACATTTATGCGATCAATCATTTTTTCTTTCCTACATTCATTTTCGACTTCAGTTTTAATATCGTGAGCCCAGGTACAGTACCCCGCACACTGGATGCTCCTGCATGTGAGTTCAGGCGCTGAGGCGATCGATGAAAGGCTACAAAATCTCGGGTTACATAGGACGTCATTGGAACCGGATGACGAACACACACACGACACAGCACAATGCATTTGGAGATTTATTTATTTATATGATCTTATAAGCTTAATGAAGATCAAACTTTTAAGCAGACGCCATATTGAACAAAAGGGCCGTGATGTTATGTGTTGTACTGGCTCACGCGTTGTTTACGTGGGAACGCGAGCAAGACACACCGCGGGGTCAAAATATCATTATGAAATAGGGCGCCAGGTTACGTGTGATAGTGAGGCATTCGTCTTTCCGGTCTTAAGCTGATGCGAGATTCAAGCGAATCAAAAATATCAACGCGCAAAACTCTCGAGGCGTTTTGGATAAATTTCAAAAATCCAAAGATGAACCGGAAGGACGCCTCACTATCACGCGTGACCTGGCGCCCTATTTCAAAATGATATTTTGACCCCGGGGCGTGTCTTGCTCGCGTTAGCTACGTGTGGGCCAGTCCCGCACGTAACATCACGGTGAGTGGCCTTTCTGTTCAATATGGCGTCTATTTGAAAGTTTGATCTTCATTAATACTTTAACCTTTTTTCCACCGAATAAGAAAAATATTCTAATATAAAGTACGTCCAGACTCTGAGGAAGGCGAAGTCGCCGAAACGTCAGCCATCGACCAACAACACCAACAACGACGACAACGACAACGAAGACCTGTACCAACCTCGCATCAGCTTAGCTTAGAAAGATCAGTTTATAAGATCATATAAATAAATATATCAACTATCTATGGCGAGGTTTATAGAAAGTCGGTCTTTCGAGTTACATTTGGAGATTGCTGCTTGAATAGAACGTATAATACGAGAACACTCTCCTTAGACGGTCATTTTCACTCTGGTCTCCAAGCTACAGATCGCAGCTAATCCCATGTGATCGCCTTACAAAAAAGAAAAAGTAAGGTGCCCGACACACACAAAGAAAAAGTAAGGAGCCCGACACACTTCGCACGGTTTCCTTTCCCCTCGCCTGGCCGTCTTCCATCTTCAAGCAGAAAATCACTATCACTAATTGCAACTCATCCACCAATGCATCTGATGTGCATGAATTACGTGTGTTCTACTACCAGTTAAAGAAACTACTATCAGTCCAAGAAAGTTTGCTGGGTCTTCATTGATCTTCTATTAGTAATGAGAACGAACGTTCTACTATCATTTGGAAGAAGCTATCTGCAATGATGAATCGCAATATAAATTTGCTACCGAAGCCTTCAACGCCAGAATATGAAGTGACAATAAGAGCGAATATAGGGTCTGGAAAAGTGGATTAGGAAAAAAAATTGAGAATGAAAAGGACCTGCAGGACTCCAGTCTGCAGCACACTTTGCAATAGGAACTCGTTTTTTTTAGAAGAAAGAAAACCTACTTGACACATCAGAAGTGTACTGGATCCGATCATCTTCCTGGCTGGAAGATTCAATTCAGCCGTAACCGGGAAAGGAATTCATGTTATCGACCAAGAAGAATTAGAATTAGAATATACTGAAGGAAATCCTACCCAAACGTGATTGGTAGATTAAGAAGAAGCCGTTCATTTTCCGTTCCAAAATCCCTGTTCCGGATTCTAAAATATCAGCTGGAAAAAGCCGCCTAGAATTCTTCCGTCAGAGGGTCGAGTTGCGATAGAAAGCATGAAAAAAGGCACAGCCAGGACCCAATGATATCACTGCAGACTTTCTTAGAGCTGGAAGCTACAATTTAGATGTAGTTCTCGCAAACCATATGACACCTTAAGAACGAACCTTAAGAACGAAAAAATACCAGATCAGTGGAGGATGTCATGCACGGTCTTCCTGACAAAGAAAGCAACACAAAGGATAACTCTCGTCCGATGTTGAGTGTGTTCTACAAGCTCCTCACGAAGATTGTCCTGTCGCGCATGTCAAGGACATTGGATGAGAAACAATTAGTTGAGCAAGAATGATTTCGACAATTTTGCTGCATAGACCACATTCAAAGTGTGTCCAGTGTCCTAGAAGCTTGGGACGAATACTACCTCCCCCTAGTTCTGAATTTTGTCGACTACTAAAAAGGGTTTTTCAGCGTCGAAAGGAATGTAGCGCTATCGGCGCTCGACGAGGAAGAAGTGCACCTCTCGAACATAAGAACTCTGTCTGAATGTATTGGAACTGTACCACGAAAATACAGCTTTTCCATAGACCTCTTACCATATTCATAGAAAAGGGGGTTCGATAAGGCGACGCAATATCGCTGGAGCTGTTTAGTGCCGCACTGCAGTGGATAATGAATTTATTCAATTGGGATGAGTAGGGAATACATACTGATGGAACTCGCACAACTCGTAAAGATGGTCCGTCCAATTATCCAAGTAAGTCGTATGAAATGCTGAGATATTTGCAAAACTCCGGACCACAGGTGTATGCGGTGGGAAACGAACCCGCGCTGTTGTCCTTACCGGGGAGCAGCGCACCTCACCACTACACCATCCGGGTCCTTCGTCTTGCCGTCTCTCAGCTAGTTCTATCGATCTTTT